TTTAAAAAATTACATATATTTTAATTACAAATTATATATAAATACTAACATGTGATGCACAAATGTGATTGAAATGCCAAAAGTGAAATATAACATACCCAAACTATAAATTTATTAAAAATAGCTATTCATGAAATAATGAGTGAATCATATTAAATGCAACTTTACTATCTTAAATACAACCAAAATAATAATTGGAGTGGAAATACAAATACCATACCATAATAAATAATGAACCTGAATTAAAACAAAACACTATTATAAAGGACTAAATTAAAATAAATCTCAAACACACATGGGACTAAAAAAATAACATGCAAAAATTAACAGTGAAATGTCTAACAAAAATAAATTAAATACATTACCACATGACTGAAATTAAATGCATGTAAAATAAAGGGATAAAATTAAATTCATGAAAACATTCGATTATGGACTAAAATAAAACTATGCGCTAAAATAATAGAGGTATAATAAGCATTAATCCATACAAAATAAAGCAAGAAATTAAATATGTAAAATTACAATATCAAGACAAAAATCTAAATGATCCTACAAGTGATTATTTTATAAAATATGCTAAACTTAATGAGACTAGAACCTAATTTACCCTAAAAATATAATATGAAACCTACATTTGTCTAAACCTAAACTAAACTCATGCACACAAAACACAAAACAGCCGCACATCCCCCTTCTCCTCCAACAGCCTCTCTCAATCGCTCTCTCAATCCCATCTCTCCCTCTCACGGTCAATGCTCACTTTTTCTTCACTCACAACCACGTCTACCCCTGATATCTTCAAACCAAGACCTTCGAGGCACCTCTCACGATGCTCAAAACCGAATCTAAGCTTTCCCAAACCTCAACCTTCTTCTTTAAAACCCACTACACGAAACCTTAGATGGTTTAGAGCTTCGACCCTTTTCTTCCACAACCAACGCTACCAAGTGTCCTCTCTGACGAAGACTCCGACAACAAGTACTCACTACTACCTCGTTTCAATTTATTATTTTTCTGTTTTAATTCGATAACCCCTTTTTATACCAAGAGAAAATTTTATTATGAAGAAAAAAACTTCCTTTCTAATGTTATTCTTACTGTGTTTGTAATGCTACTTGTATGGAGAGTCCCTTCCTCAAAATGAGACTTGAGATAAGATTATGGGGTTACCTTCGATGATACGAGAAGGTGATAGTTTCGCCGAATAATGGTAACACTTATCCTATGAGAAGAGGTGAGCATTTTCGATTGATTTCATTGATTCTTAGTTTATCCTTTTCGTTTGTTTTGAAATGAATCCCATACACACACTCAACAAATGCTGTAAATCGAAAAACAAAATATGAGGAATACCTCAAAACTAATTTTATTACTTTCGAAAAAGATAGTGAATACCCTTGTTACAATGTTTTTCTTTCTCTGTGTTGATGAAATTCCCCCTGTTGTTGTTGTTTTTTTATCTGCTCCTCCTCCTGTTTGTTTCGATGATATTGCTTACTGCTTGCTAATGGTCTCTATCCACAACCGAGAGTCCCATTTTTCATATTTTTCTTCCAATGCTTCCTTTAATCTGTCTCCGTTTTGTCTTTGCATCCATGATTGTTGGATGATGAATGATTGATGCGGTAAGTAGAAACCCCAAATTTTTCAAGGTTTAGGTAAGCAATTGGTGGGATTTGTTTTTTGACTTTGTTGTGTGGGATTTTCGGTGACTGATTTGTTTTGTTTTTTGTCTTGTAGCTGACTTGGGGGTGACTCAATCCGAGGTTCCACCTCGCGTAGCAGCTGATTAAAAAGGGAGACCATGGTGTGCTTTATTGTTGTATCCGTGGTGACCTTGGACCATCTGTTGCATGAGGTGGCGTGTAACAAGGGATTACATCTGGGATTTAGGCTTCTGTTGGGGCTTTTTAATTGGGCCTGCAAATAGTTGTAATACATATTAATAATAATAATAATAATAATAATAATAATAATAATAATAATAATAATAATCATATAATAATAATAATAATAATAATAATAATATAATATTTATATCCCGGACAAAAACGAGAGTCTACAGTACTAGTATACTGTTTTGTTGCCTTGTATTAGATTGAAAAATTCTTGTTTGATTTGCATGACGAACTAGTCCCCAATATACTTCCTCTTAAATTCTTCCCGCAAAAACTGTCAAGTGACTTGTTCTGGATAGGCACACATTATCATATTATTCCACCAAATACAAGCCTACCCTCGAAGCAAAGACACTACACCATCCAAATTTTCTTCAAGAGTGCAATGGAGAATATCCAGCATAATCTTCACATCATTTTACTACATATTTTCTACTATCAGGACTTCATTTACCATTCCTTTTAAATTCAGGGGCTTCTAAACTCTTTAACTCCTTAGAATTCAACACTCTGAGAGCCAGAGGAGTAGGGGGAGGTAGAGGTGGTAGATGTGGAGGTGATGGTTGGTAACATGCTAAGACAACCTCTAATGCTTGAAGAAAAGTCCCCTGATTTGGAGCTGACATTCATTTTTGTGCCGACTAAGCAAAAGGTTCGTGATTTACTTCATCACTACCACTAGCAGTTCCTTTCAGAACCTCTTGCTCAGTAGCTCTACGCGAGCCCTCTGAACTAGACATCTAAAACAACCATTTTTCAAATTTATGTTAGTAAGGAAAAACAACAATAATCAAATCATATAACCATTCCAGATCAATAATATTGACATTCTAGTGGTATGTACACATTTTTCAACATAAAATAAACTCAGTTTAAGCTTGCAATTGGCTAAACCTACAACTTTGATACCAATAACTATAACACCTTTAACTCGTATAAGCACTTAATTATGAGTTAAAAAATGTCACATTAACAATTTACAACATTTTCTATCCAAAAATCGGTAAAATATTTGTTTCATTAAAATTTCTAAATTTAACATTCATCACAAAACCATTTAATCACATAAAATCATAAAGTAAGATATGACTTTCAATTTAAAACCAATTTCGTGCAACAACTAGGCAATTCAATAATGTTTCATATCATAAATAAAATTTTCTGAAAACTACCTAATTTAAAAATCAACTAATTAATTTTTCAAACATAATTTAATAAAATACTATTAATTATATCTAATATTAACCATATTAAATCAATATTAATTTAATATTACAAACCATCTTATAACTAATCTATGAGAACAACTAATACATTTATAATATACATGCCACTAAACTAGTCAAAATAACATCAAATATGTCGTACTGATATTGTATGTCGGTATGATTTTCCCAAAAAGTGATGCTCGCAAGGCTCATCACTATGAAGTTTTTTCCTTTCTTTTACCTACGTTTGAAATAGTCACACGCTAAGTAATACTTAGTGAGGCATTAAAATTCAAGTAAAATAATTTAAAATATGAAATCAATATAAATAATCACTATAATATAATTTATCGTATAAAGGTTTAAGCTCATAAAATCAACTTAATAAAATCATTTCCTGAACACATAGCCTGTAAAATCAATGTATCATATATAATAAATAATCATGGAAACCAATGCCATACCAAAGTCATTGGTAATATATTTTCTATCATTCAATTAATATCCAATTCTTATAACTTGTGCTTTCCCATTTTCAATTTCATTGCCCAATGTACATCTAAAGAGAATGCAAGGAATGTGAGTCAGTTACGTGTGTGCAAAGATGCAGTAACACTGCCCCATCAGTAATATGCACTCAAAAGTGCCTCATATAACTTGCACCAATGGTGCCACATGTAATGTACATGAGTGTACCTTGTAATATGTGTATAACGGATACCATATCACATCATGTAATCACTCCACCTCATGGTATGTCAACTATACCTAAACTCTTAATGCAAAATATAATGGGCTTTATAGTGAAGTCATATTTCATTTACAAATCCAATATATCCATACAACTAATATCAATCAGTTCAAATCTCATCAACATAAATCAATGCATTGGGTAGTTCATACCCAAAACCATCCATAACTATTTATTAAAAATTTCATATAAAATACTTGGGGTATTACATACCCTAAAATCATTTTCAAAAAATATTATGGAAATATATCATAACATAATTCAAACTTTTTCTTTTCAAATTTATTAGAGGTTAACTCATCTCAAGTCTTCATCGATCGTATATATACTTAAAATAGGTAAGAATGAAATCCATTGTTATGCCTCATTATCAAACCTTTAATATCAATGTTCTTTACTCTCGTACTTGATCATTCGCTTTAGGTTCACTTTGATCATGGAATTTTATCGTGATCTATACAACATCATATATACAATACATATATTCAAAGCATATGTTAGTATCGTACTAACATAAGTGAAATATAATAATAAAATCTATAAAAAAATTATTCGATACTTGTATGATATAATTATCATTTCACAACTCAATATCAATATCAACATTCCAAAATGAAATTTAGTTCTTTTACTATTCATATTCATCACTAATCCACATAACTTTCAGACTTTTACAATTCAACTAAAATTTATGAATTATTTTATAATTTATTCTAACTTTTCCAATTTATTCAAAATGGTCCTTTTCCATTTCACTTTAATTTATTTCCAAACACCAAATTTCTAGCATTCTAACATTATATTTAAATTAGTACTTCAAAACTTGCATAATTTCCATTTACTCCCATACTTTCCCCTATTCGTGATTTAGTGATGTTTTAAATGCTAGAATCAATGGGAAAATATAACAGTTCATTTACTGAAGATCTTATAGCACACCTTGGAGCATTTATGGAGGTGGGTGACTCTTTTGTACAGCAAGGAGTACATGAAGAAGCCTTGAAGCTGAAGCTATTTCCTTATACTCTCTGTGACAAAGCTAAAGCACGGCTTAACTTGTTTCCTCCTGGTGCTATAACCTCATGGAATGAAATGGTGCAAAACATTTTGTTGCTTTTCAACCCTCCCAACATTAATGCTAAGCTAAGGAATGGTCTCACATCATTTAAGCAATTGAAGGGTGAAAATCTTTATGAAGCTTGAGAAAGTTTCAAAGAATTGTTGTATAAGTGTCTGATGCATAGGTTTCCTTATCAGACACAAATGAAGATGTTCTATATTGGAATGAATATGCAAACCCATGTGGTTATTGATGCTTATGCCAATGGAACATTGTTGGATAAAACTTACAATGAAGTTATAACATTTTAGAGAGAATATCCAACAACGATTATCAATATCCCAACACGAGAAACATTTTTGGAAAACAAAATGTTGCAACATCAGTGGATCATAAAGCTTTCAATTCAATGGTTTTTGATATAATCGAGTTAAAAGACATGGTAAAGAAGTTGCAAAAACCGAGAGGCATGAATGAGGAAAAGGCTGAATCTTTTCTTTCTTGTGTTTATTTTGGTGATACCCATTACTTTGAAAAATGACCCAAAAAATCCCGAATCCATCTACTTTGTGATAAATTACAACAGGAATAACCATGCCAATGTTTATGGGAACACTTACAATGCTAATTTTTTTAAACCATCCCAATATGTCTTGGAGGAGTCAAAATATTGTAAATCCCAACATGGAATTCTAGTCCAATTATGAAAATATACAGTAGCATTATGAACCACAACAAAAATAGAATCAGCAGTAGATGATGCCTCAGTAATAATCACAACCACAAGTAACACAACCATAATAACTAGAGAATTGTCTAGGACAACATTCTAATTAGGCCACCACTTTAACTTCTCTCGACTCTTTATTGAAGGAGTATATTTCAAGAAACGAGAGGAATGAAGATTTGATCAAAAGCCAATCAGCATTATTAAGGGTATTAGAGAGTTAAATTGGACAGTTGGCTAATGCTATGAATATCATAAAACAATGAACTTTGCCTAGTGATACCAATAATCCAAAGCCACATGGAAAAGCTCAGTACAATGAGCACTGTAAGGCCATTACAACTCAAAGTGGTCTCCACATTGAAAGGCATATTAAAGAACCTAAGAAGGATGATAATGAAAGACTTGGACAACAAGATAAAGGCAAGGTAACAGAGATAGATCTTGACACAACAACAGTGGATGCTACAACAAATGAGACATGACAGTGTAGTAATTCTAGATCGTTATTAACTATAATGCCGACAACATCACAACCTATACTTTCACCACCTATTGGTAGAATACCGAATCCAAGATCTCCCCCACCATTTCCTCAAAGATTCAAGAAAAACTAGAAGGGCCAACAATTTAAAGCATTCATGGATTTGTTTAAACAATTAACAATTAACATCCCGTTGATTGAAGCATTGGAGCAAAACCCATATTATGTTAAGTTCATACGTGAAGTTTTTTTATAAGAAGAGATGTCATGGAGAATTTAAAATTGTTACACTTACTGAATGATGTAGTGCTATGGCTACAAGTAGATTACCACAAAAAATAAAGATCCATGGAGTTTTACTATACCTTGTATTATTGGTGATCAAATTGTAGGTAGAGAAATATGTGATTTGGGTATTAGCATTAATCTCATGCCTTTGTCTATTTTTAAGAAACTTGGAAATGGACAAGAACGACCAACCATAATTACCCTACAACTTGCTGACCGCTCTATCGTACACCCTAGTGGTATTATTGAGAATATGCTAGTCCAATGAGACAAATTCATTTTCCCCACCGACTTTATCATATTGGACTGCGAAGATGACAAGGATATTCTAATTATTATTGGTCAACCTTCCTTATCACTGACGAGCTTTGATTAATGTTGGAAAGGGAGAACTCACTATGCACTTGAATGATGAGAATATTACATTTAATATTTTGAACAATGTTTCTTACATACATGATAATGATGAATGCTATTCAATTGATGTTATTGATGTTTTTGCATATGAACAATGAGATGAAGGCTACAACAATGATGTTGCCACAAGTCATACTGTGACCGTAGAGAATCTAACCGATGACGATGAGGTGGAAGGAAATTACATGCAACATTTTGAGTGATTGGAACATTCCACCCAACCTAGTAAAGCTCTTAGACTTTCTATCAAGAGACACCCATACTTGACCTAAAACCTTTGTCCGAGCATTTGAAGTATGTAAGTCTTAGTGAAAACGAGATTCTGCCTATTATTGTTGCAGCAAAGCTTGATGCATTTAAAAAAAAATGCTTGTTTTTCTAAAGCAACATAAGCGAGAAATTGCCTAGAGCATTGCTGATATTAAAGGCATTAGTCCAACCTTTCGTATGCATAAAATCTTGTTGGATGATCCAAAAAAATTTCCATTGGGCAGCAAAGGGGACTCATCCTAATTATGAAAAAATAGTTCAGAAAGAGATTATCAAGTGGTTGGATGATGGTGTCGTTTACCCTATTTTAGACAACAAGTGGGTAAGCTTTGTTCAATGAGTTCCAAAAAAAGGCGACATTATTGTAGTGTCTAATGAGAAGAATGGGTTTGTTTCAACACGCACAACTACAGGCAGGCACAATTGTAAGGACTATAGAAAGTTAAACAATGCTACAAGAAAGGATTATTTCCCTTTTGTATTTATCAACCAAATGTTAGATAGGCTTGCTGGAAAGGCTTTTTATTGTTTTCTTATACTTATAGTTGCTATAATCAAATAGCTATTACACTTGATGATTAAGAAAATACTATATTCATTTAACCTTATGTAACACTTTCCTTTTGGTGAATGTCTTCTGGTTTGTGTAATGCTCCAATAACATTCCAATGCTGGTTGATGGCGATTTTCTTTGATATGGTTGAAAACATCCTTGAAGTATTTATGAATGGCTTTCTAGTTTTTGGTTAAATTTTTTATTAATTCCTTGTCAATTTAGCCACAATGCTGAAAATATGTGAAGAGATAAATTTAGTGTTGAATTGGGAAAATTTTCATTTCATGGTAACTGAAGGCATAATGCTAGGGCATCATATTTCTCAACGATGTAATGAAGTTGACTAAGCTAAAGTTGAAGTGATAGAGAAGTTTGCACCCCCACCAATGTAAAAGTAGTGAGAAGTTTCTTAGGACATGCCATATTTTATCGAAGAATTTTCTAAAGTTGCTCGATCATTATGTTCATTGCAAAAGCAAAATAGAAAATTCATTATTGATGATAAAGTTCTTAAGTCCTTTAAATTGATCAAATCAAAGTTGGTCAATGCTACTATTGTTGTGGCACCATATTTGAATCTTCCATTTGAGTTAATGTGAATTGTTAGCGACCACGCTGTTGGAACAATGCTAGGAGAAAGGCACAATAAAGTTTTCCATGTTATACTTTATGTCAGCAGAACATTGAACGATACTCAAGTCGATTACACAACAACCAAAAAGGAACTGCTCTCTGTTGTCTTTGTATTTGAAAATGTTAGATCTTACTTAGTGGGAACCAAGGTCATTGTTTACATGGATCATTCTACATTGAGAATTTTATTTACCAAGAAAGAAACCAAACCAAGGCTTATACAATGGGTATTGTTGCTTCAAGAATTTGATATTGATGTAAGAGATAAATGAGGCTTTGAGAATTTGATAATTTATCTCGATTAGAATTTGGTAGTAAATATGGTAAAATACTAGTGATTCCTGATCATTTTTTCAATGAAAAACTTCTTGCTACTGAAACATTGCCTTGGTATGTGGACTTTGTCAACTATTTAGTGAGTGGTATGGTGCCACCTTACTTAAATCGCTAAGGAAGAAAAAAATTGCATGATACCCAACAATATCATTGGGAAGAATTGTATCTCTTCAAGTAATGCAATGACCAAATTCAGTGATGTTGTGTCCTTGAATGTGAAAAGCAAAACATTCTACATCATTTTCACGATGCACCTTATGGTGGACATTTTGGAGGCATGTGTACGGTAAAAAAACTCTTCAATGTGGTTATTATTGCCCATCACTGTTCGAGGATGCCAGTGATTTTGTTAAGCATTGTGACCACTGTCAAAGAACTGGTAGTATCTCTCATCACAATAAAATGCCAATGCAACCTATATTGGAGATCGAGCTATTTGATGTTTGGGGATTGGATTTTACGAGACCACATCCTTTGTATTGTGGAAATATGTTCATTCTAGTAGTTGTGGATTATGTGTCTAAGTGGGTTGAAGCTACAACATTACAATCTAGTGATGCTAAGGCTGTCCTAAAATTTCTTCATAAAACTATTTCCACTCGCTTTGGGACACTAAGGGCATTTATCAGTGAAAAGGGTTACCAATTTACATGCAAGCAGGTTGCTAATGCTTTACAACATTATTGCGTTAAACACTGTATTGCCACAACATATCATCCTCAAATAAATGTTCAAGCTGAGGTTTCAAATTGTGTAATAAAATAAATATTAGAGAATGTGGTAAACCGTTCTAGAAAAGATTGTTCCTTGTGCCTTGATAATGCATTATGGGCATATATGACGACATATAAAATCCTTTTGGGTATATCTCTTTATCGCCTTGTGTATGGAAAAGCTTTTCATCTTCCTGCAGAGATGGAGCATAAAGCAATGTGGGCATTGAAAAGGCTAAATTATGGCTTAGATGCTATAAGAGAAAAAAGAATGTTAGATATCAATGAATTGGAAGAACTTGGCAATGATGTCTATAAGAGTGCTAGAATTTACAAAGATAAGAGTAAAAAATGACAAGACAGATGTATTTTGCAACGACAATTCTATGCTGGGCAATATACGTTGTTATTCAACTCTCGATGAGGCTCTTTCTTGGGAAACTTAAGTGTCGTTGATCTGGTCCATTTGAAATTATCAAAGTTTATCCTCATGGAACTGTGCTATTGAAAAATTTGGTGGATAGAAGAACATTCGAAGTCAATGGGCAATGTTTGAATCATTATTGCAATCAACAAAACACACACATTGCCTCTATCACACTAAGCTAACCTCTATCTTTTTAATTATGTGTTGTTTTCAATAAGCCAATTTTGACATTAGTCTAGTATAATTTTATTTAGTAACTTAATTTCTTTTTATGTTTTCTGTATAGGGGATGCTTCAACATTACATGCTGCATCAACATTTTTCTTAACAATTTGT